ATTATATTTTTAATCTTATTATTTTAATATAATTTCTCCATGTATTTTACATGGAAGCCACATACGATAAGTATTATGTTATTTTAATATTATTTTATTATGTAAGTCTATCTCTTAAAATTATTTAATTAATTTTTTTAGAATAAAATAATTATTTTATTATGTAATTATCCTATATTTAGATAAAATTTTATTTAGAGTATTATTTTATTAAATTATTTTAAGAACTTGTACTCATTTACACTGTTCGAAAAATAGTATAAATAAACTTTTGCGCATAGGTTGTAAAGACACCAATTACAATCAACTTGAGCGAACTCCTGAAAACTTAGATTTTTCTTCCAATTTTTTAGAAAAGTAAGAGTATTTCATTAGCCTTGTTGAAGCCAAAAAGCAGGGATCAACTAACCCGGTAAGAGGTGAGAATTTTTCATTTTCTTGTTTATTTTCGTTAATAGCGTTTTTACATTCTTTTTAAAAATTGTAAATTCAATTAAAGGGAGACGTTTTTTCTAGCAGTAAAGTTTTATATGCATATGTGAGTGGTTATAGAGTGATTCGATCCTCCCCATACCTTCCCACATCATCCCCGTAGTTCTTGGACGTCATGATCCTAGACTAATACTCATTATGCTTCTATTTGTCTTGTATTTTTCTGAATTTTGTGTGCCAAGCTTAAGGAATATTTCTTGGTTATACAGTTTAGTATTGCCCAGGATATTGCCATTGCCTAGCACAGAAAGCTAGGGTTTTAATAATTGATCCTATATATTTGGAGAGCATAAATGAAATCACATGAAAAAGAGTATCTATTTAACATCCCTCTTGAGCAATTTTTTCACTCTCGGATGTTTTCTCTCTCTTCTCACTCCTTTATTTTTCTTTTCCCCCCTCAGCTTCTCATTATTCCCCTTCTCCCTTTGTTTTTGATGATACTAATAATTTGTCATTTATCAAAGCTTTTATACTAAAATTAGATTTTATGTTTGAAAAATAATACTTAATTGAATTAATATAATGATTCATTACAAAATCTAAGTACAAATAGGACTTTAACTTTTGATATATGTGATGAGTAGTCAAAATGATGTGAGACGGCTAAGTTAAAAGGATTCCCGAAGGCACCAGATATATCCTGCAAGCTAGAGGTAACCCACGGGATAGCAAATTCCCAAACCAATAAGGAATCCTGCGGGAAGGAGGAATCCCTTAGTGAGAAGGATTCCTGCAAGAAAGAGGAATCCTCTTCCCGCAAAGACTCCCACAACTCTAATTTTAAAATAGATTTGATTTTAAGCCCAAATTGGTTTCCTAGACTGGCCCAACATCAAAAAAGGCTTATGATTGTTCAAGAAAGTGAGCTTGAGGTACACTTGGAAACCTGCGGGTTTGAGAGATTATATGGTAGGGAAAAAAGTCAAGTCTTGACCCAAAAGAAAGTGAATCTTGGCTTACTCGGCCTTAAAGCTCCCACGACATGCTCTACACGTGTGGCTGTGTGTGTTTCACACACTTGGCCGAGAAGGATAAGGACGAGAGAGTCTCGCCCGTGCGGGAATCTTTTCCCCATAAGGAGTCCTACTCCTAAATGTTTCTCTTCTTGAATTTCTTGAAGAATTCCACTCCAAAAGAAAGACAACATGCAGCTAAAAGGAAGAAATCTAGAAGTCCAAAAATGCATCATAGGAGGAAAAGAACTCATAGGAAGAGTTCAAGAGGTAAAAAAATTCCCACTCGCGTAGGAATCAACCCTGAGAAGAAGTCCTACTTCTTTTCTCATTTGTTTCCGATTTTTTGGATGAACTTGAGTTACTTTTGGATTGTTCTTACCAACTATGAAGAAGTCTACATGATCCAAGCATTCTTTTCCAAAAAGGATAGAAGAACCATCAAGAAAGAAAGGATCTTTATTAAGGAAAAACGATCAAAAAGGATTCTTTGTTAAGACAAATTTTATCCAAACAATGGAAAAGTTTGGATTTTGCTTCAACAAGGACACTTCAAGAAAATAAATTAATTAATTCAAGAATAAGTTGACTCCAACAAAAAAAACCTCAATATGAATGGAAGACTTCAATTAAATCAAGAGCGAAGAGTCTATCTTTTAATTAAAGTTTAGTTTTTTTATTATTATTTTATTACAATTTCAGTTGCAATTAATTTTAGTATTTTATTAAAATTTTAGTTTTTTTGTATTTAATTTAAGAATTTTATTAGAACTCTAAAGTTTGATTTCAATTATATTGAATCTGGTGAAAGTCTATATAAAGGTTACATTCTTAGGTTATAGAACAGTTCAACTTTCAGATAAATAAAATTCAGATTATTTGCTTTTAGCTTTGCTAATTGTGGGTGAAAGTATTCAATCAAGTGAGATTGTTTCGACCGTCTTATTGGGTCAGGGAATCGAATCAGCTTATCAAGTAAGTTGTGACTTTTTTCCTAATCTTTTTTTTTTTATTCTCGGTTACCTCAATTTGCATTCATATATTGAGCGTGGGTCAAGTAGGAAGATTTTATTTAGAGATTTAAAATTTCTGCATGTTGATGTTTTATATGGAGTTTTTTATCACAATGTTGGTTCCGGATTCCACATCACAGAAGTTTTAAATTTAACTGTCATCTCTTTCTCCATTATAATGTGGTCTAAAAATTATAGAGCATGATTTTTGTTTTTTATGACGAGTTGTAGGTATGTATGTATGATACATAATGAATTATGCCTAAATATATTTCAAATAAAATTTCTTTTAAATATAAAATTACTTTACTACGTAGGAGTCTATTATTATACTTTTGGTAATTTTAGGATTTTATTTTTCTTCGTATCTAGTTTCCTACTTGTTTTAATATTTCTAGTTGTATTAGGATTAATATTCCTAAACTTTTTAATATTAATACTCCATTTTTATCAGAAGCAGCATTCCTAAATTAGTTTTGGTATTTTCTAATCTTGTTAAGGAAGACCTAATACTCTGTAATATGGTTATAACATGTTGAGAGGATTGATTCAAGTATTTAATAATATGTTTTGATAGTTTCTCAATCTTTTGGCAGCATAATGCAATCAAATCCTTAAGTGTGACACTTAAAACTTATTAAATATGATCTTAAAGAAAACCTATGTGTGATGCTTAGATTTTTTCATCCCAAATTTCTAATTGAATAAATCAAGCTTAATTGTCTTACATCACTGCCTACTTCAGATCATTTCATTTTCACCCTCCTTGATGGGAGAGAGAATAGATAAAAGATTATGTGGAGAGAGAATCTTTTTTTCGGGCATGCGGTTTTATGATTAAAACAGAATGCTAGGATTTTCTATTAGCATTCTCAATCTCCATATCTCCTTTTGGATAGATTGGTGCTTTTGGCTTCTCTATAGACTCTTTAGAGGTCGGTATTTTTAATGGGATGTGTTTGTCAATCTTAAAACGAGACTAGGGTATGTTATATTATTCTACTAATTTTATCCCTTTCGTTGTTTTTTGAACAATTTTTTTTTTTTTATTTTTAAGTGGAGGATTTCTTGTCCTCCCACTTTTTACCTTCTCTCATTCTAATATAACTTCTGTTTTATCAAACGGATTCCTACAGACGGCCTCCTGTACCCAAAATCTAACATGTATTAATATAAAAAAAAAAAAAAGATAGCTCAAGTAGGAAGAAAAGTTGCAAAACATAGAAATAACCAATGTTATTTGTTGAGTAACATGTAGGAAGAACAAGTTGATAATTATTATAACAACTTTTGATGCACACGGGTGCCAGCAGAAACAGACCTTTGATGTTGATGATTTGTTTTACTACCTTGTGCCAAATAAGCATCCAATGCAGATAATTCAGACCAATGGACAAGGTGGGGCTCAATCAGTGAGGAAAATGTGCAGTTTCATGTGACAAGTTCCATTAAATAGTTTTTCAGACACAGTGAAATTGATATTTTAACATCAAAGAACAATTTGATAATTTATCGGCTAAAAAAATAAGAAATGAAAAACTGAGAATAAAATCTGAAGTAAATAGATATAGAACAATGACTATAGCAAAACCTACCCATAGAGGATGTTAAATACGTATGAAAAGACTATCTGATAAACATTCCTGTTCTCTAAAACTATTCAATAAGAATATATATATATATATATATATATATATATGATTTTACCACAAAAAAGGGCTAATATCTAAATGGTTGTGGTTTCTGACGAATTATACACGCGTTCTCCCTGTTTTTCATTGTCAATCAATGACGAAAGAAATGTAGGTTTATAAATAAGCTTTTCTATTCGCAGGAAACAAAGACCAAGTAAGCTTTTAGACCCACTTAATAAGCTGCAATCATGTATTAGGAAGGTGCCTTCATAGGATAAACATTTCTATTCACAGAAAACACATGACCATCTAAGAATTTAAATCTACTTGATTAACAGTAAAATGACTCTAACTGACTAATCAGCTGTGCTGTTGTCTGTGCTACCAAAACGATTAATCACTATTTCCCTGGTAATATCTTAGAAATTTTTGTCAAAGAACTATAATAAAAAATATATATAATGGCAAGTTTAGATTCGAAATATTTTATCAGTTAATTACAAACGAGAAGGGTGATACTCTAACGGTTCTTATCTTTACTTAACCATACCAACACAGAACAAGTATTTATGATTTGGAAATAGCAGCGTTTCATTTTTCCATGCAACGGCAACAGTATAAGTGATGTTTAAAAATTTAGTTTTCCTTTTCAAAGTTTCTCTTAGGATTTTTTCCCCAACCACCTACCAATAATAAATTAGACACTGACCAGGTACGGGTAACACACCACATGTAATGCACCCCACAAGAAATATAAATAAATTAAAAGCCCCTCCCAAAATTCCAACCCCACATGGCCATGCTATGCCCATACCCAACACCCAAATCTGGACCCCACCCACATGGGATTGCCCCCTCAACTTTCCGTCTTCAAAAGGAGAGAAACCAGAGGTCTTGATTTTTCATTTCCACAACCCCCAAACAGATTTTGAACGTCCCACTGACACCCCAAGTATTCCATATGGGCGGCTGAGCTTGTCCCACCCTTGTCCCCCTCATGCACGGGCACCTTGCCTCAAAGTTGCTGCCACTGCTACCGACAGCTTAGCTTGCCTTTGTCCAATATTCATGTATGGAGAGGATAGCCGAGGCCTTTGATTTCTCTCTAAACATTTTCATGATTATCCTATTAAATACCCACTTTCGCATTCACATTCCCTTCACAACCACAATACGCGTTTGCATTTCTCTCAAGCTAACAAAGCAATCCCAAAGGACAATCACAAGAACTTTCCCTTGAATCATATCTTTTACACCTAGTTCTCATATACCTTTCAGCATCAGCCTTGAGAGGATCTGGGTCTGATATATTGCCCCGTATTTCTGTTGAAGAATACTTGAAGAAAATGGAGAGTGACAAAGTATACGAGAATGACCTTAACCTCAAGGCAACTGAGCTTAGGCTAGGGTTGCCGGGCACCCATGAAAGTGAACAACAAGCGGTTTGTGTTAGAGGCAACAAGCGGCCATTGCCAGATCAAAACGAGGACTGTGGAGTACAAAGAAAATCTGATGATGACCATGAAATTGCCCCTCCTGCCAAGTAATTCATCATAACATTCTGTAACTATTTTTTTTTTTATCTGTAAACATTTAATTTACATGAATTCTCAATTGACTGGATGCATATATGCACACGCAGGGCTCAGATAGTGGGATGGCCGCCTATTCCATCTTACCGGAAAAACAGCTTTCAGCCAAAGAAGAGTGAGGCTGAGGGTCCTGGAATATACGTGAAAGTAAGCATGGACGGAGCTCCTTATCTAAGAAAGATTGATTTAAAGGTTTACAAGGGCTATGCAGAGCTCCTTAAGGCTTTAGAGAATATGTTCAAGTTCACCATTGGTAAGAACATTGACTCCTGTCAATCTTCTTCTTCTTCTTGTCATATGATGTGATTGTTGCAATGAGATTTACGGTGGGTTTGATGATGGTTTTGACCTTTGAATTTACCTTGGCTTCAGGTGAATACTCAGAAAGAGAAGGCTACAAGGGGTCAGAATATGCACCTACTTACGAAGACAAGGATGGTGACTGGATGCTGGTTGGAGATGTTCCTTGGGAGTAAGTCTCTTTCTGTATCTCTTAACCACGCAGACATTTAGCATGCATGTAAATCTGCTCCTTATTCAGGATATCAGTACTTAACAGGGTAATTTATTCTTGTTGCAGGATGTTCATGTCATCATGCAAGAGGTTGAGAATCATGAAAGGGTCAGAAGCTAGAGGCCTAGGTTGTGGTGTATGATAAATCTAGAAGCCAGAAAAATTGAGAAAAGCAAGAGAAAGAGAAGACTTGCTCTCATAAAGAAAGATCTTTCAGCTTGGGTTCTCGAAAGAGATATTGGGATCTGATTCTTGGTCTCCCAATCGATGATATCTGGAGTTGGGCTGGGAAGTTTAGATGGAAATGAGCAAAAAAGATAGTTGAGTTACAGTTTCTTAATTTCATCAAGTTTGGCAGCAAGATCCTTGATGGTTTGAGCATTTGTGATGTTAATGTGCTTCTATTTTTCTCATCAAACCAAAACTGCATACAACAAGATGTTGCATCGCAACTGTATAAGTGAATATAGGAAAGGAACATGATTATCCCAGATTTTGGTTATGCACATAATAAATGAATTAAACATAGCAATTTCGATGCTAGTGCCCTTAGTTGGATTTTTTTTTTCTTTCTTGGTCATACTTCGTATCTGTTAATATTTGGATTTTTTTCTCATATATAACAAAATGTTATTCGAGCTAATAAAGCTCTTGTATCAGGTATTATATACTATAAGGATAAAACTTTACCAAATATTAAATACTCCAATCTTGTGCAACAGGTTAAATCCACTTCACCACAAATAAAAGTAAATCTAAAAGCTTCGCACCCAAGAAAAACACAGATTAACAGAAAGATCCTGAAAAGTGAGATAAATGCTTAAGGGTTCTCTATCGGCCAGGGTAATACTTGTCTATTGATGAAGCAAAACAAGCAGGATAATCCTTCAGAAATATGGCAGCTATTAGATGAGATTGATGAGTAATGTTAAAGAGTAAAAACAATCAGTTTTTTTTCTCTAATTGTAATCTAATAAGTAATATAGCTGCTCCTCCCGAGAGAACATTCTCTTTAGTTTAAGATCTAAAGAGCTTATAAGATGTTGAAGAAACTATTTAAGCTGCTAATTTTTTGGTTAAGGTATATTTATATGTTATTTAGTCAATAAAATTAAAAATTTATGAAAAAAATTTAAAACTTAAAATTTAAGGACATATTGTCCTTTAGTAATGCTAGCTTACTCTAGACAGGTTATATTGTCTTTCAATTTTGTACTTTTTTCTCCTCTTCCTAACAACAATTCATTCTCCATTACAAGACAACTTCAAAGAGGTTATTAAGTGTCTAAAAAACAATTTCTTATTAGTTTTAATAAAACTTTGTATAACTTCTCATCGATTACCATATGGGTTATTAAACATTTTAAACTCTTGAAGAGATTGTAAGCTTACAAGTAACCCAATTGATAAGCTGTTCGTTAATTACCAAACAGGTCACTTAAGTATCTTAAGCTCTTGAATAGTTTATAAGCTTCATTTTATCACCAAAAACTCTCTGAAGCATAAATAATTGATTAAAAATCAAGAGATCATTAAAGAAAATATACCAAGGAAGACTAGAGAGCAAATTGCTTTCTTGAAAAAGAAAACTATGTTCTTAACTAGTAAGAGTCCAAATTTTTCCTTCCAAAAGTATGCAAACCAATAAAAGAATAGAAGAAGGATGAAAACTTCAGAATCTTGACTTGGATGCGTGTGGTTACAAGTATTAAATGGTGGATGCAATAAAGAGAAGAGAACCCGAACGGCACCATTGTCAAATCCTTAGACAGAATTCTTTCTGAGCAGGGGAGAAAGTGTGAGAGCACGGAGAAACGTAGATGGTCATTAACAGTTATAATAGACAAACTAGAACCTAAAGCAAAAGTAAATTGGGTACTTTTACCTAAATGAAAAGTTAAAAATTCTGGGTAAAATGTGTTAAAATGGTACAGCCTTATGCGTTTAAAAACTGTTTGTCTAGAAATTATGGATCTCTGTGTCCCCTTCTTAAGACATAGCTTTCTTTGAGATATGGCCACTTGCACTTAAGACATAGCTTTCTTTGAGATATGGCCACTTGCACAGTTGTTTGTGGAATCATTATACTAATTCTTGTATTAAGGAAAATCTTATCGAGCAATGAGAAAATTTTTGGGAGTTTGTAAACATTATCTTCACTAAATTTCCTTAGAGGTCAAAATATGAAGTCCTACACTAAAAAGCCAATGTATCTGACTATTATTATTGTCTCACTACCCTCAGAACTTTTAGATTTATGTATTCCAGTAATCATTCATCTGAGTATTTCTATCTCTCAACTTAACTCACTTATACAATGAGAAATAGTTTAAATTAAGTAATCAATAATCTTAAAACTTTAGGCCATAAAAAATAAGTCGACTTTATTATTTTGTTTCGACCATGTCTCTTCATGCATGTGTCCACTAGATTAAAAGCTTAAACACAAGTTTATTACACTTCGTAGTGAGATTTTCAAATTTAATAGAAATGAACAAATAGCGTGTGAATAATAGAAGAAAGTGGCCTATTATACCAGAAAACTTGACTTAACACAAAAGAATCTAGCTTTATTGTTAATTTATTTATATTCTAACAAGTATTGGCGATACCAGTAGTCCATGTGATTCAAAATGGAAAAGGTTCAATGAATTTTGGTTCTTATACATAAGTTGGAATGAGGATTACGAGGTAACATGTTGCAGCTGAATTATTTATTCTATCAGTCATACTGAGTTTGGGATTTATTTCTATATTTATTTCACTGCTGCAGAATTACACTTTTACCTTTATGTTTCTTCAAGCAATATTCATCTTTTTATTTTTCCTCTCTCTGTATCAACTGATAATCAAATAAATAGCATAAAGGCATTCTCAAACAAGATCTGACATGATTCCAAGACTTGACTCTAGTGATTCTGAGTTTATTTAGATGTCGGTACGATGTTTTTAGGACCCTACTGCACAGTACTAACAAATTAGATATTTTATCACTCGTTGATCATATTTCCTCACTGGCCACATATTAATTATGCAGCAATATTTATATTTTGTAAGCTACAAAAAAACTATCAAACCACAAAGAGTAATATTTCTAAGCATTCTTTGACCAACGGACAAATTTAGAAAAACCACGCATAATGAATATGTTGACGTGGCTTGATTATGAGGATATCTTATTTATATTCTGATAGATATTTTATATATATCCTGAGATATTTAATGTTTATTCTATAAAATATTTTATGTATATTTTAAAAAGTTTTGTGAGAGAAAATTTTTTATAATTTTTATATATAAAAGATTTACAGCTTTATTGGTTATGTATTCTTATTTTTCATAGTAAAAAAGTTTCTTCTCAATCTTACCCGTAAATGTAAACATATTTGTCAAATCACGTTAAATTTTGTGTCTTTTCTTATTTGTGCTTTACTTTATTGTAATCGTGTGCACTTTAGAGATTAATTTTTCTAACAGAGAGCAGAGGTGGCGGCAGTTTAGATCAAGAGCCAAACCTAAAGTTGGTCCAAATCTGTGCAGCGTAGCTGAACCAGAAGCTGGATTGGGCACAACACAACTGAACGGAAGCCAAAGAGATGTTGTGCCAGTCTGGTTCTGTGTGCGATGGGTTGAAGGAAACCCATATATGTGCATTCGGTGGCATCAGCTTAAAGGAGACTGTAGATTTTGAAGAATAAATATTTACTTTATTTTTTATATACTTTATGTTGTTACAATTGAGGTATATATAAAGAATTTTTACCTACAAATAAGAAAATTAATATAATAGCAGAGATTCTAATTGATTATTGTTGATTTTTGGAGAAAAAATAATAATTTTATTTATAGAATTTTTATCTTACTGATAAGAAAATTTTTATTTTACTACATTTCTAATTATGGGATATTATTATTTTAATATAATTTTAATTACATAATACCAAATAATTAAAATTATAAACTAAAATAATAAAATATGCTACTTGCAGACTAACTTGCAAGTGGACCCAGATCTATGAGGCAGCAGCTTGACTAAGTTTGGCTCAAAAACGATTTGAGTTCGGCTCAAATAGCTAGAATTCGGCAAAAAACGGCTCGAAGATGACCCAAAAACGACTCGAACTCGACTAAAAAAAAGCTCAAATTTGGCTAAAAAACGACTCGAACTTGGCTCAAAAGAGCTCAAACTCGGCCAAAAAAAGGGCTCGAACTCGGCTTGCCTCATATCGGCTCGGCTCGGCAGCAGCTCAGACACGGACAGCTCGACTTAGGGGCGGAAAGACAAGATCGGGTGGCTCAGCATGCAGAATGGTGAGATTGGACGTTCCTGTGTGCAGAAAGCTAGAATGGCGCGTGAAGGACGTCTGTCCGACAATGCAGTGCGGTTCAGTGAGTGTTCGGAGTGAGGTGGCGTGAGGGAGGTCCAAACAAGTGGCCTCCAAGCACGGAACGATCGGGACGACACGATGTAGGGCGCAGAACGGCGGATCGGCCAAACACGCGCAGCCATGTGAAGGCCAGAATCTGGACGCGTGATCTATGCTGGATTGCGTGCGAAATGTCAAAAAAGGGTTAGATATTGGCAATTCTTACCGAAATGAGTTGATTCTTGACAGCTTGTAGGGATCACGTGCTTCCACTGCCAAAGGCGCATGTGGCTCACACAAGGCAGAAACGGCTTCGATATAGTGTCAATGAGCAGCGACTTTGTCTGGATGGTTGGTGAAGTTGGATTTTTTTTTATAGGTGAGTATCAACTCAGCCTACTTTAGGGTACCGAAGTTGTGTAGGAGTCTACACATGAGAATCCTGCAGATATAATGACAAAGGCAATCCCAGTTATCTAGTTTAGGTACAACCTAGACTTGATTGGAGTATATAATACTCAATAATGCTCCTGTGATGGCAGTTTGGCAAGACAGTGTAATGAGACAGTTACTTTATTAACAAGAGAGAATTCAAGTTAAGAGAAAGATTTGTTGATGTGGTTTGATTCTGGAAATATCCTATTTATATCCTGGAGGATAGTTTATGTATATCCTAAGGATATTTTACGTAAATCTTATGGGATATTTTATACTTATCATGGGAGATATTTTGTAGATATATTAAAAAAAAAAATTTGGAACTAAAATTCTCGTAATTTCTTTATATAAAAGGTTTACAATTGTATTAATGAAGTACTCTCATTTTTTATAGTGAAAAATTTTTTTCTCAACTTTACCCGTGAATGTAAGTGTACTTGCCAAATCACATTAAATATATATATTTTTTTATTTGTACTCTAATTTGTTGTGATTGTGTGTGTTTTGGGGATTAATATTTCCAACATAATCTAATTAAGGTCTGCCTTGACTGTATACTACTACCTATGGTTTATTATGTGACTGACATAAATTATTGGCAATATAGCATCAACTGAAAAGTTTTTTAAAAAAACAAAAAAAAGAAAAAAGGGAATGACTAGTTAAACTTTAGAACAGCTTTAGAAACCAGTTTAAATGTATTTTACATAAAACATATCCTAAAGACTCTTGATTAACTAAAGAATATTTATCAACCAAGATTAGATCATTAGTATTCTAAACAATTTATAAGGACTTTAGAAACTCATTTTACTATCATGTATGAAGAAAATCTATTATATAAGTTATGTGAATCAAACATGTTAGAAAATTTTTTTAAATCAAACCTAATCTGATAAATCTAAACATGCAATTTTATACCGAATCAATAAGAAAAGATAAACGGAAGCGTACCTATATGCATCACAGAAGATTCGATTGTGTTCTGCGGTA